GCTCTTCCGATCTCCCCAAAACCCCAAAACCCCAAAACCCCGTTAGAGAACGAATAATTGTTAGAAATGAAATAAGAAAAAAATATACAGTTTATAAGGCTCAAGTTGATGTTGCAATTAGTTAATTAAATATTATTCAAACAATGCACTATCAAGCACCCGTTTTCATCTAAAATATCACTTACCAACCACAATTCAGCTATAACCCACAATTCTTGCTACCTGATCACTATTCGAAGATTTTTAATAGTTTTACTAATGCAAACAGCTATCCAATGAGATAGCCAATGCAAGATTAAGAATTTTTCGGTTCGAAAAAGACCAGTAGCCAATGTGATGATCTAGCTGACCTTAAATGTGGAATCAAAGTGATAAAGAACTCTCAGTCAATAACTTAAACCATGACAATGAACACAGCAAGCACATTATCAAATCTATCTTTGATTTCGGAAAAGCCTAGCAATCAAATTTCGAAGTCAACTTAGAAAATTTTTCGTGTAAATCTTGACGAAAAATATTTGAACACCATTAATATAAACACCGAACTAGATGAGGGGATTCCGGAAAATAGTCTTTAAGGGTCCGATGAAGTCTCAGACAACAACCAAACTTCTTCTTCGGATTCACAATACATAAATAGACGCCGCTAAAAGTAGTCCTATAAATGCCTCATTGTACCGAATACTAATAAGGGTCACTCTCACGCAGATCCACTTGGTTGTTTGAGGAGCGATGTTTTATATAAGACGATTATTCGTGATATGAGAAAATTCTACACAGCGGTCTTCAACGATGAGACCAAGTACATAAAAAGAAAGAGATACAGATCAGCTGATTACTATGTGTCTTGCCTCCGCCTGTATATTAGCCAACAGTTCCCAGAGTTCATTTAAACTCAAGATATTTCCGGACCTATCAATTAAGAGGAACGAACGGACATCAACGAATAATTATTATTCCTCGGATGTCTCATTTATCCAAAAGATTTTCAGGAGGCACAGAAGTACATTAAAGAACAGTAGAACATGTCAGATATAACCGAATCTGAGCCAACAAAGTACGAGATCTTGCATGCATACATGTATAGCTTCAGTTTGGAAAAATTTCATGCTCTCGTTAACCTAGATCATTTTTCATATTTCTATTGCTTCTACTTTGAGCAATAAATCATAAAAAATGACAGAATTAAATAGAAAGACTCAATGAATAAGCACTCAGAGTAATATATCGAGGCTTGTAATATCATATTGAAGCTTTGTAAAAAAAGCCTATCAAAGAAACTCAAGATTTTACCAGATTAAGACAAAAATTTGAAACTAAGACAGAGAATATAAAGATACATCGATATGGAATAAAAACAGAAAATTGAAAGCCCTTTCGTCATAGAAAAGACTAATGACCATCTACTTAGTAGGAAAATCGATAAACCAATTTTTTTACTAGAAAATACTACAACTTTGAAACCTTCCTCTAGCTCTCTTGAGTAAGAAAGCTCTGCCAGGGAAGATAACTTGACTCCATTTTTAATAGAATCCTAAAATTGAATACCTCACTTTAATATATTAAACTTGATTATTGATAAACCTTACTTTACTAATAAATATCTAATGTTAACCTTCTGCATCGTCCCATTTTGAAGTCACGGGGTTTTGGGGTTTTGGGG